ATCGAGATTTAAACTGAGTTTGTTCCACAACTGCCTAAAATCGTGATCCATTCGCTTGCCAAGGAGAACCATGACGGCAATGTCATGTTCCCTTATTTTGGACTAAATTAAAATATCAGCTGTTTGACAGATTTCAACAACAATGGGATAGCGAGTAAAGAATGGCAATGGAGCACTGAAAATTTTGAGAATAAACTTCACTCACATCAGATGAAACTGAAGGTTCGATTCCTAGCGCCCTACACAGGAAAACATACGTCGCCTCGGTACTTCGTCGTATCGCGTCCGGACCTCGGAATCCATGCCCCTCGTCTGAGAAACCGATTAATCTTACATCCTCATCTACATTACTACTCGAAGGCTAACATTTCTCACCATCGAAGAGCATTAACGCTGTTGTAACTCCTTTTTGTCGCAATTTGTCATACATTTCGACACTTTGACTGACCGGCACTACCGTATCTTCCTTGCCATGCAGGAACGCGATTGGTGTTTGTAACCGATCAACATGGTAGATGGGACTACGCTCCTAAACAACAGAACTGCAAATGGATTTAATTACCAGTGGAATTGAAGAGCCACTCACCTTGTAGATTTGCTCTTCTTCCGGGTATTTACCGATAAGTGTTTCGTTGTAACCGCGCTCGAATTTGTGAGTATCCTAGGGAGATTACTACGTACCACTGTAAGTATTACATCCTACACACCTAAAAACGTGGGAACCAAAATATCGGCACTATTTACCAATCGCTGCCCCACTCCTTCAAAACCAGGTTAAATTTTATCGAAACTTTCTTCGAGGGTGAATTTCGCTAAAAACTCGTCCCTGGGTTGTTTGACCTTCTGAACACGAATATCACATCCGCATGAGCTGCTAAAAGAGTTAGAGATGGGGCACATATGGCGGCCTTCTCTACTCGTGCGCTATCGAAGCAGTGATCAATTCGTCCTACTAAGCATACGATGGAGCCTCAAGGAAGGGAGGGGGAATCAGCAATGCAGGCAACCAGAGAGCCTGTGACCTTTTCCCTAATCCCCTTTCTTGGAACTTCGCTTGGTTCGGAAACGCGTGGCGCCCGTGCTGCAAGCGTAGACGCCAAAGCAGGGCTGTGGCGCTGGTGCTACTCGGTTCTGTGCAAACAGGTAGGATTAGAATTGGTCATCAGTTCTAGAAACAAATTTCCATCAAGTTGGATGATTTAA